ATGACTCTTCCAGGAATAACTATTATACCCAGACAAATCTATAGTACCATAACATAGTTAAACAATGCATCATGACTCCCAAACTAAAAAGCCTCATGTTCTTGTATTACCCACTCATTTAGGGGACAAGTAGCACTGCTTGTGAGAATATTATTAAACCTCATTTGCAAAAGCACACTAATTCCTCCAAGGTTGTGTATACAAACACACAGGGGAAACTCCGTAGCAAATGTATTAATTAGAATGAAAAGGAAAATTAGAGGTTAGATTCACAGTTCTTTTCTTGTATATATTTGACTGAAATCAATTCTAGAGGCGGGTGCATGTGGGAAAGATTAGATGGTTTGAAAATAATTTATCCTTCCCAGTTTAATTTGAAATACTAATAAAGACAGTTCCTTTTGTCTTTCCCTTTGAGCTTTTAAATGGCAGGATGTTTATAACAATGCTTAATACTTAAATAACACCTTTCTTCTTCAAAGAGTTTTAAATACAGTAACTACCTATTACAATCTGTTCCTAGCTGGGCAGAAGAGCCCCCTACCTCAAACCAACTAAATTGTTGAATGTGAAATGTTAAAGTACAGTGACAGTGAAATATAGGGAAAGAATAATTGGTGCACAATTATCTTGATCCATGTACAGTCAGTGACTGGTTATATTCCTTAGTTCTTTTATAGCCTTTAAGATTTATCACATTTTTCAATAGAATTTAACATTCTTTTTCCTTTACTAAGAAAGAAATATACATTCATTAAAAAAAACTAGAAAATAAAGGTAAGAAAAAAACTAATTTAGTGAATCACTAATCCACTTTATAGGTTGTCATAGTGACCTTCTAACCCTTACCAGTTCTTTGTTGTTAAGAGATGCAATGAGTCATGGTGAAGTACTGGAATTTTAAACCTGAAAGCAGTTCTAGCATAACTAGATAAATACAATGACTCTATCAAGAAAGAAGACATGGCAAGAAATATTTAAATCTGGCAACTTAATTTTTAAAAACTTTAAAGACATCTATTCTTAAGCAAGATAGTTTGGTTTCAATTTTAGCAGCCCAAATGTTTACTAGAATATGTTAACCAGATTTTGCCATTTTGTTCCTCTGAAACTTCCTTGTTCTTTATTCATGTATTTCTTCATTCAGCAGATAAGGACTGAGAGTATACTGTGCGAACAGACTTGTGGTAGGAACTAAGGAAGGTATTTAACATTTAAAAAAAAAAGAGAGAGCCTAAATGGGGTGCCAGTGGCTTATGCCTATAATCCTAGTTATTTAGGAGGCTGACATTGGGAGGATTGTGGTTCAAGTCCAGCTCAGTCAAAAAGTTCATGAGACCTCATCTCAGCCAATAGCTGGGTGCAGTGGCTCATGCCTGAAATCCCAAGCTGCTTGAGAGACTGGGATTGGGAGGTTAGGGGTTCCAGGCCAGCCCAGGCAAAAAAAGTTTGTAAGACCGCATCTCAATGGAAAAAAGCTGGGTATGGTAGGATGCACCTGTCAATCCCAGTGATGGTGGGAAGCTTAAAAATAGAGGATGGTGGTTCAGGCCAGCCAGGGAGAAAAGCAAGACTGTATTTCCAAAATAACCAGACCAAAAAGATCTGGAGGTGTAGTTCAAGTGGTAGAGCATCTGCCTAATAAGAAAAAAAAATGATTTGACTTCCTATTCCTCAAGTTGGACTCCCCTAATTTCTAACATTACAAAAAACTATTATCAATATATGTGAAAGAAAGATTTAAACAAGTACTTAGAAAATAATGACCTTTAAAGATCTCACCTTTCTCTTGTCTATAAATGCAATATTTCACAACAGATTCTAGATCAAGTTAATTTATTCATTTCTTTTTCATACTATTCGAGCCTTTCTACTTTCTTAAGAAGCCAACTACTTCATATAAAATAGTTCATATGAAGTAAATTGTGCTGCTTTGAGAAGCACTATTTAAATAATGGAGTAGGAAAACAATTGTAAACTGTGTAATAAGTAAAGAATTTCTAGTTCAATGATCTCTGAAGCACAGAAGTCATTTTCCCCTGTTGTATAACTGGAAGCCTTCCTTTAAGGACCAAATGGATATCATCCTCTCCAGAAACTTTCTAGATCCCACTGGCCTACAGTGAATATCTTCCATCTTTGAAATCTTATGGCACTTGTACATGTGTTACATATATACAAGACATACAAATGAGACAAGTCCGATTGATTATCTTGGTTTCTGAACATATTTGCTTTCCCAAGTGAGAATATAAATGCTTTTAGGAAATGCTATCTCCCTTACATTTCATTATATTTGACCGAAGTGCTTCTCAAGCCCTGTACTGAGACTTCAGATAGTTCCTTTAATATAAAACCCAAATAAGTTCAATGCAGTATCCCTGGTAACAATTGTTCAGTGCCCACTGTGTATTTTAGTATATGTTCTCTTCAGAGCTACGTTAAATCCTATCTTCTTCGCCAATGTCCCCTTCCATCTTAAACAAATTGATAATTTTACGGTTTCCTATGTTTGAAAGTAGAAAGATTTTAAGAGGACCACTTGAACAGGACAGAAAATGCTGGTTGTGGGGGGAAACAGAATTCTACCCTACACACACCAGTCTTGTTCATGCTCTAGATTCCTAGAAAGGCAGCTACTCTAAAGCTTCACCTTCAAAAGTGGGTTCTTAGAAAGGTAAGACAATATCCCAATACAGGGGAATGGCAAAAATTCGGGTTCCTTTTTTTTTTTTTTTTCTCTAACAGCAATCTGTTTATTATGTATCTTAATGTCTTAAGTCAGGACTCAATGGAGTAATTCTTCTGTTCTAAGTGGAGTTGACAGAGATCATTTGGTGGCATTTTGCTGGTCTGGAGAATTCAAGGGACTTCAACTTGTCCTTGTGCCTTGGTGGATGGCTGAAGGACTGAGCTGAGGCAGGACATGCACCTATATGTGCCTTAGCAATGAAGTGATCAAGTAAGACTTTTCATGACAGCTCAGAGTGGGTAAAACACAAACTCAAGTTCCTTCAGATGACAAAATCTTGTCCTTTGCTTCATCCTCAAAGTATTGTTTAGTTAAATAATATTCTTAGGGAAAAACAGTTTATTTTTTATAAGAATGTCCTTATTATTACACTTTGCTTTAAACAAAAGTATTACAAGTTTTTGATAATATAAAGATCATATGTCCACAGTCATGTAGGAAATGCAAGCAATATAGTTATAAAACAAAGTAAAAAACCATCTGAAATTCCACCATTGTTAGCTATTGAAGGCTATAATAAACACCTTTTTAGGTGCACAAATATTTTTATATTCAGGTATGCATATACACACATGTGTATGACTTCTACAAATGTGTCATTAATATATATGCTACTTTATAACTGTCTTTCATGTAAAAGTGTGTTGTAGAGCCCTTGGGATATCAATACATGTACAACATACCTTTTAATATTGCATGCTATATCATTTGATATAAAATTATTTAATCGATCCTTTATTTACAGATAAAAGTAATGTGATTGCTAACTTTTTTTCTTTTTTTTTTTCAGTTCTGGGGTTTGAACTCAGGCCTCACACTTGCCAGGTAGGCGCTCTACCACTTCAGCCACTCTGCCAGCTTTACTGCTAATTTTTAATGAAATATTTTGGGACACCAACCATTTTGAAGAAAGTCCAGTCAAAATAAGACATTCACTTCATTTTTATCAAATAAGTTTTGTGATAACTCAACTATGGGAGATTTTTAACTAGGTAAGTTAAGTGATGGAGAGGCCAGATAGAATACATTTGTTCCCTATTTTGGTCAAATAAACAATCAAGTAACGTCAAGTTCTTTAGTTTGTTTTCTTCTGCACTAACATAGGTTAATATTAACATAGGTTAACTAATACCCTAGTCATTGATGTGGCTAGATAACCATCAGTCAAAGTTTGCACTGTTCTGCATAAACCAACAGAAAGAGAGAGGGAAGAGGAAGAGGAGGGAAAGGAATAAGGAGGAAAGGAAGAAGAAAGACAGAATAAAGGAGGAAGGGAAGGAAGGGTAGGTTAAATGAATTAAGATTTCATTTTGGTCTAGTTACAAAAAATCCACAAGTAGAATATCCAGGATTGGTCAGCAGCTCTGCAATGCAATCAGGACTCAAGTTCCTGTATCTTTCCACTCCACTGTCCTAATGCGCTCACCAAACTGTGGTCCATCCCCCAACACTGTGTCTCTGTTTAGGTAGGAAAAAGGGAAAGAGAAAAGGTCAAAAATGGTGAAGCCAACTAAATCTGTGTGTCTTTTAAAGGGTTTTCCTGGAAGTCCTACCCAATAATTTCTGTTCATAGTTCAGAACTAACTAACGTGATTTCCCCTATATGTAAGGAGACTGAGAAATAAAGGGTTTTGTTTGAGTTTTTGTTTTTTTGTTTTCATTTTGAAGGGAACAATGCACACTGGGTAGACAACTGTCTCTACCCCAGTCATTAATATGAGCTAAGTGTATATAGATATTCTCAAGAAAGTTGATCTAAGAATGAGAAAAGGTCGAATAAGTAAAATTTGAGTTTAAGTATAGAAGTCTGAATCTACAAAAGATTGGTATTAGAATAGAATAAGTCTCTGGGAATTCTCAGTGAAAAGAGAATTTCTTTATTTTTTAATTCAAAATAACAAATATGTCAAATGTGGTGAGAGAAAAATCATGATGTGTAGAAAAATATTTCCTGCCCTCAAGGATCTCAGTCTAGTGACACAAATGTTTGAACAAATAATTTGAATATAATATAAAAATCCCTATTGCATTGAGAAATGCATAAAGGACTATGGGACAAGTGGGAGAAGGAATAAATGTAGAAGAGTCTACACTTGCTCTAGGCTTAACAGGTAAGTAGACGTGCACCAAGGGAATGAAAAGAGGGAAAAACTTCAGATGAAGGAGCAATAAAATGTGGCAAATGTCAGTTACTCACTGACATTTAAAGGAACTCACTGGTTCCTTTAAAACACTGTGCACCATCATAGGGAGTGTGGCTTAGAGGTAAAGTACTTGCCTAACATGCAAGAGGTCTTGGGTTCAATCCCCAGCACTGCAAAAACAAAAAACCACTGTGCAAGTGCGGCCCCGATCCTTGAGTTGATCATGGGTATCTCCACCTCCAGTGATCCTCATTTAGTTGAATCAGCATTTCTCAGAATTCATACGCACAACCAAAGTTTGAGAACCCAAAGTCTAGCCTGGCTGAAGAGAAAAATGGGTCAAAGAGAATACATTCAGCACCCTCTCAAGAACTTCTCTCCTGTCAGTCTTGTATCAGTCCATGTTTCTACATAAATACTCAAACTGCATTTCTGAGTTATGATGGTGTTTTACTCCTTCTTAAACACTCCTCTTGAATACTCCCTCACTGAAGTCCTGGTCCTGATCCATGATCACATCTTCTGAAGTTATCTCTATTTGAGGAGCCAACTTAGGCAGAACAATGTAAAGATGTAGAAGCCCTAGGTATGAAATTTTAGTCTGCTTTTTGTGTAATAGACCTTTTTGGCAGTTTAGTAAAAGCCTATGTGCTCACTTCTAAAAATAATGTTGTTTTGGCTTGCTTTGATTAAGATGAGGTCTCGTTACATAGCCCAGGCTGGCCTGGAACTCACTTGAGTTCTGTGATTAAAGGCATGTACCACCATACCCAACTCCCTAAAAATAATGTTTTTAAATGCATGAAATAAAATATATAAAAAGTAAAACAATTATTTTTTAAAAAAGTAATACAATTATTTTGAAGTTTGGTGTGGTAGCACACCCACCCAGAAGGCTGAGGCAGGAGGATCATGAGTTCAAAGCCAGCCTGGACTACAAAGCAAGACCCTGTCTCAAAACAAACAAAAAACCAAGTATATTGAACTACAGCTAACACATTGAAAAAAAGGAAATTAATGTGCACATTATTAATGCGCTAAATAACAAGCAAAAAATACTAATTATAAGCATATATATTAATATGAGGGGGTCTTATTAATTTTTTATTAGTATATATTCATTGTATGAGGGGGGATTCATTGTGACAATTCCAAATAGACTTATATTGTGCATTGGTTAGACCACTCCCACCATCTCTCCTCCTTGACCCCCTCCCCACCCCACTTAAAGCAATTGCAAGAGGTTTCTTTGTTCTATTTCATGTAAGTATATGAAGCCCATCAACCATATTCAATGTGAGGGTTACTGTTGCTTAAATTGAATAAGAAAATTAAGCAGTACCCTTAACAAACAACATGTGTGTTATATTGCACACAAAAGCATGTTTTGGGTTTTCTTCTTCCAAGTTCGTGGGCCTTTGGAAATCATGTGGGTCTGTGGACTCCACATTAAGAACACCAAGTAGGAGATTATCTAGAGTGGTCCTTAAATTGGGAAGTGCTACACCTGAGTGAGCACTTGAGACATGTAATGGGGAAACTTTGGTTATCAAAATAATTGAAGGGATGTAATTGGCCATCAGAGGTCTGGGGAGTCTCACACAATTAAACATCATACTGTCCTGCACAATGGACTCACTGGCATCCTACTAAATAAACATCTGGGCAAAAATCTCCCCTATAATCATCTGACCCTAAAATTGGCCTCCTTGTTACATAGGTACACAAAAATAATATATACCTAAATTATCCAGGCATGCAACTGTGATACAAATTGAGAGACAATTGGAATTTGTTTTACTTAAAACCTTATTAAGAGATGTCTACCATTTTGGACAATCATGTCACCAACAGCAAGGCCACTCAAGGAATTTGAAACTCAAGCAATATACCTTACATTGTAGCTATGGCACCTTTAGTGATTCTATGCTTTGGTGATTCTATAATATAAAAAGATATATATAGATATCTATACATATATTAGCCTTTTTATTAAAAATGTCAAATATGAAGTAAAATATAGAATAAATGCTCAATAGGAAATGATAAACTAGAAAATGAAAATATTAAGTAAAATACTGGTAATATTCAGCTGAATATTTATTTTTCTTAAAACCCAAACTTAAATATTTTAAATATTATAAACACAACCATATGACTCCTTATTATGTTTTCTAGTGTGGTCATCTTTAAACATTTATATATCAAACTGTATATTATTTTTGTAAACTTCCTTTTCTATTACTAATGCATTATGTTGCAGTTATGGCGTTGTATTGATTGCTTAGAAAGTTTACATATTGTTAAGTTATAAAAAAGCGGTATCTTGGTCTGATGGAACTATGTGATGTAGTCTAAAATTTTCACAAATTTTCACTAAAAGAGCTACTAAGGGAGTTGTATGCTTCATTCAATAAGAATGGTGAACCTACAGACATGAGAATCCACAGGAGCACAGAAATAGTTAAAAATGTTAGTAGAGATAGTGAGCATGAATTAATAAATATATAATTTATGTTCATTAAAACTTTACAGGTAACAAAAACAGTAACAAGATGAGAAAAGTGAGGCAGCAAGGGTGTTGCATATACTGTAGTAAAGTATACCTAAATGGGTATTGTGGTCAGCGAGAGGTTAGAAACATAAAGCCATACGCACATAATCCATTAAAAGAACAGAAAAGTAACCTGTAATCTCAAGCCAGCAGAGAAAACAGGAAATAGGAAAGTAAGGAGAATCATAATAAAACATACAACTAAGAGCATAGAAATATCTGATAGATAAGAAATCACAATAAACATAGATTATACTTGCCTACAAAACATTATTAGAATGAATAAAAATAAAGTCTAACTGTCTACTTGCTATTTATAAGTGACACTTAAACACAGAAAGACTAAAAATAAAAAGATAGAAAAAATGAATGTGGTAGAACTGGTACAGCACTTTTTGCCTAGCATGCTTAAAGCCCTGAGTTCAATCTCCAGCACTGTAAAAACTAGTTATTTGCTAAATCAGACAAAAATTAATGCTCAACATAATAGAATTTAAATCTATAAAGAAAGACATTGAATAAATACTGAGAAGGAATAATTCACCAAGAAAATATATCAATCTTCAACACATTAAGTATTTACAAGAATAGCCCCAAGTACATAAAGTGATCTCTTATTGAATTACTAAGAGAAATGAACAAACTGATAATCTCAGTGGGAGATTCTAAACTGAGAGCCAAACTCAAAATTATTAATAAGATTAATCAAAAGGGCTATGAAGTGGTTCAAATGGTAGAGCACCTGCCTAGCAAGTGTGAGGCCCTGAGTTCAAACCCTAGTATCACCAAAAAAAAAAAGATTTTAAAAGACTAATGAAGAGTTGAACAACAAAATCAACAAGACATGATATCCAATAGATATGGAGACTTTTGTACCGAAGAAAAACTACATTCAAGTGCACATTCTTAGAATAATCACATATTATTTCACCACAGAGAGTTCAATAACCTCAAAGAGCAGCTACTATGTAAAATATTTACTTTGCCCAGAATCTTTTAAAAAGGTGAGAATTCAAGAATAAAATGTGAAACTTTTAACAGACAGATTTATAGCATAGATTGTGGTGATAGTCTCATGGGTGTATCCTCACCTACAAATGTAACAAGTTATATATATTAAATATGCCCAACTTCTTATATGTCGGTCAGATCTGAATAGAGTGGTTTTCAACAAGCAAAATGGAAAGTAACTGTATTTTTTCTTTACTCTTTTCTTAAAAAAATACAATGTGAATTTTTAAATGTTTGAAAAAAATGTATTCCTAAATAACTATTTATTATAGAGAAAAATCATAGAAATTAAAACTGTTTAAATTGAATGATAATGAAAACACCACACATGGGCCCACAGGAAGTCTTTGTTGACTGAGTAAACTGTGGCATCCATGGTTTGGGCTCCTAGGTTAATGACTTCACATTGCCATTATGAGGAATACCAAACTGGAGTATTTAAAAGAATATAAAATATAAAGTACCAGATGAACTCTAAATAAAGATAAAAGCTTTCAACCTATCAGGATAAGGTTTCCAAAGATTCTGAAAGTATATAATAAGAAATAAATACTTTTAAAGACTTTTAAGTTTTCTTCAGTGTATAAGTGGAATGAATTCTGCCATCTATCTGATGAATGGACCAGAAATAAATCTGGTTTATAAAATAAGCAAACAAAAATTCCAGGGATAAAATAACAAGTGAGCCTTCATTAAGAACACCAGCATTTATTAGCTTGCCTAGTTGATGGAAAGCAGATCTTTACATAATATATACAGTACTTTCCAAACCCAGAACTTTACATAATATATACAGTACCTTCCAAACCCAAACTTAATGAGCTTAATTAAAGTCTTCAGTAAAATATGGGTTGATAGAAGAGACAGATACTTCTTATTATGCTTTATCTATTTCAATTGTTCTCTTGTTAAAGAGGAAATAAATCACTGGAAAGAGTAAATTTTTTTTTAATTTTTATTTTTTTATTATTCATATGTGCATACAATGCTTGGGTCATTTCTCCCCCCTGCCCCCACCCCCTCCCTTACCACCCACTCCCCCCCCTCTCTTCCCCACCCCCTCGCTACCTGGCAGAAACTATTTTACCCTTATCTCTAATTTTGTTGAAGAGAGAGTATAAGCAATAATAGGAAGGAACAAGTGTTTTTGCTGGTTGAGATAAGTACAGCTATACAGGGAGTTGACTCACATTGATTTCCTGTGCATGTGTGTTACCTTCTAGGTTAATTCTTTTTGATCTAACCTTTTCTCTAGTTCCTGGTCCCCTTCTCCTATTGGCCTCAGTTGCTTTTAAGGTATCTGCTTTAGTTTCTCTATGTTGAGGGCAACAAATGCTAGCTAATTTTTTAGGTGTCTTACATATCCTCATATCTCCCTTGTGTGCTCTCGCTTTTATCTTGTGATCAAAGTTCAATCCCCTTGTTGTGTTTGCCCTTGATCTAATGTCTGCATATGAGGGAGAACATACGATTTTTGGTCTTTTGGGCCAGGCTAACCTCACTCAGAATGATGTTCTCCAATTCCATCCATTTACCAGCGAATGATAACATTTCATTCTTCTTCATGGCTGCATAAAGTTCCATTGTGTATAGATACCACATTTTCTTGAT